CACACAGAAACCACAGAGTGGCGCTGATTGCCAATGGGCGGAACCACCCTACGAGGGACCAACGATATTTTGTGAGGAAATTTCTAATAAAATATCTTGCACTTATCTCATGCAACCGCGTAGGCCGACGCCTAAATACCGAGGCAATAAGGCGCTTAAAAACAAATTGAAGTTGGTAGAACTGGAGAAACCTCGTCAGGTTGACCGTACCACAATATCGACACTCTAGGGACCAAGGAGCGGTCATACCGGCCCGTTATGAGTGTGAGAAACTTGACACAGCCAGTATGAGAGGCGGCGCAGCATCATGGAGGAGACTCTGAGGAGCAAAGCTCGTTGACATAGCGGTAGAAGATTGAATTTCAATTCAAATATAAGTAAATACTTTACTGTGATATTAACTACATTTTTACAACTCCTTTCATTTGCAATCTAATCTAAGGTGAGGTCAGTAGAGCTGTGGATCAGATTGATCGTCCAGGAGAGCAAGACAGATCACTGAGGAACATCCGTGTTGCCATTGAGGGATGAAAAGGAAAACATGAGACTTGAAAAGCATGCTGGTCGAAAGTTTTCGTGATATCAAGAGCAACGACGATTACAATTCAAATACTTTTTTCCTGTTACTGAAATCCTCATCTCTATTCACAAACCTTATGCATGGTGGACCTATATTTTGTGGGACCGGGTACATGTGTAAACCCACTCACTTAAACTGAGGCCGAAGAAAAGATAAACTTCCGGCTGTAAAATGTTCGCAATGGAGCCGTCTGAAGTTTTTCCTTTACGACACACCATCTGGGTTTTCTCGTAATTGAAAAACAACTTTTTAATTTCCTTCAATCTTTTAAGAGACCCGTCAAATGCAACAGGAATGCGTTATTAGATTCCGTCGTAAAGTTTCCGTTCGCGGAAAATATCACGCTAATAAAACTTCTGGCTGCATTTTGATGAACAACAACATCGGTATGGTTTTTTATGCCAATTACTTTGTTACGGCGTTTTAGAACCAGGCAAAAATAGATTAATAGTCACCACAGTAACAAATACAGGGTGTGTCGGAAATAACACGCCACAGTGACACGGGAGGTACATTGGCTTCAGATCAATCAGATAAAATCAGCATGACCTTACAGTATATTCAGATAAGAGATAGACTGGACATAAACAAGACCACGTGATCATCGAACGCTGTAACATTCGGCAGGGACGTATTAAGAGTCACGCAGTACATATTTTAGATAGTAGATGCTGCTTTGCCTAACTTTGTAGTAAATTAGCACAATTCGATGTGTATACGATTGGTGATGGATATAGGATCATGTGGGGGTGGGGTAAGAAATATATAATGATGTAAATATACATAAGGATTTCAAAATTTTCGCTTCGATTTCCAGCATCGGATGCCGCCTGATGTTTGGTGAAATACAGTCGAATATAATCTCAAAATGGCGTTTAAATTAGCCTAAATTAAAAATAATCGTATATCTCTTAAAATTGCTTTTAGAATATTGATTAGTATATTTTTTGATTTCTAGGTAAATATGTAACCAAATTAAAACGTTTAAAACGTAAAAAAATGTGCATGGTTGAACATTGTCAGAAAGTAGATTCTTGAATAGGTTTTGCCAAAATGGGTTCAAAAATGTCAATAATTAATTAAAAAATACAGTAGCTTTATAATTACTTATAACTTACCGAATTTGATGAACGACATCTTTTATTGGAAAGATGAGCTTGATGAGCTTTCATCATCGCTGAAGCCTGAAGCATCAACGTCAATAATGAATGGCTCGACTTGTTCCTCTAAAATATTGTTCAGTTCCCACATCCTCTTTTCAACTTTGTCTTTCACGTGCTTAATACAGTTTTCCCATTTTTGCGCTTTATTAATTCTAGTGCTTCTTTGAAAAGTCCTTTGAAGTCACAAAATTTAAAAGTTGTATTGTGCTTAGCTATATAATTTTTAACCTCTGCCCATATGAGCTCAATGGGATTGAGCTCGCAATGGTATGGAGGTAAACGGAGCACAGTTTTATTTTGACTTGCTGCATTTCGTCAATGGCGTATTTTTGATATTCCGCCTTGTGATCCTTGACAATTCTTAATAATTGTACTTTCAGCATTGCTTCTTCAAAGTTGATATTTTTCGAGCGGAGCCAATTTTGAACATCAACTTTCCTTGAAGCTAAGGCGCATTATCCAACACAATTACTGCGTTTTCCTCTAAGTTCGGTAAAATTTTTGAAAACCACTGTACAAACGATTCGCCATTCATTTCCTCGTGGTAATCTCCAGTTTTCTTAGACTCAAAGCACCACAGACCGTCAACAACAAATCCATCCTCACTGCCAATATGGCAGATAATGAGCCTTTTCCCTTTACCTGGAAATCGAAGTACTAACTGGTGTAGATTTATTTCAATAAGCGAACCTTTTTCAAATGTTTTCATCACATTCAGCGAAAAAATATTGAGACATGAGTATCAGATTGCTATAATTGGGATTATTTAGTCATATTGAAAGAAAGAATATTGAACGTCGTATGATTACTCAGCGCTTCACAATTTAATTTAAAGTTATAAACCTTTAAAAAATGAATGATCAGGAACCTGAAATACGTGCAAATATTAATATTAACAAATTATAACTTTATAAAGCTTAAAGTATGAATTAAAATGATTAGAAATATTAGGAACGGTACACAATATAAAACTTAGTAACTTTTTTTAAGTTTATAATATTCGACATATTTTAAGATTATATTAAAAAAATATTGAAATATCGAAAACACATAAAAACATGGCTTAAAAAAGTTTTAACAAATGAAAATGACAATAAAACATCCACGCATTTTATCGAAAGTTATAAAAGTTTTGTTACTTGTAATATGTTTTATCTGCCCCCTGGAATTAATGTTTAGAACCTTGTTCCCAAGGTTTGAAAAACATCCGATTGTTGTCTATTACTCGTATTTACCTGCTGGATTTTTTAATCCGGTGGACAGTCCATCTAGAAAGGCTCTCCTGGATGAAGTTACAGAATCATCAAGCCATACTTTACTTGTAGTGTGTCCTGCGTTTACCCACGTTTCATCAAGGTAATAAATCTTCCTGTTTTGATTTCTATATTTCCCAATTTTTGTTAAATAATCCCTCCTCCATAGCACAATTTCTTCTCTATCCAGTAGTAAACTATTACAACCCCGTTTTTTCCATTTGAAATTTAAATGCTTCAGTAACGCATGGAAAGTTGATCGTTTGAAATTTGGCAACATTGTATCTCCATTTACCTCCTGCAGTACTTTATCTATAGTAGGTATTTCATTCCTAAAGAAGAATTCATGCACTTTCCTCCTAATCGCATGCTTATCAGCTTCATCCAATGATTTAACAATACTTTTGCCATGTTTACTGGTCATTGGCTCAGAAAAGGTGTGATTTTTTTTGTATTGTCTTAACACATTAAACACTGATGCGCGACACACCCCAACTTTGTGAGAAACCTTCACAACAATTTCTTTGATGGTTGATGCCTCGTTCTCCTCGCGCTCGATCTTATATATATTCAAAATGACCTCTTTCATTTCTGCACTCAGGTGTCTTTTTTTAGAGCGTTTCCTTGGTGGACTACAGGAGTTTACAACTTCATCGGCAGTATCTGTACTACTGGGCATTTTGCGCAAGCAGTTGATAACAATAACAATCAATAACAAGGTATAACAATAACAACGACAAACTCAACAACTTAATAAGATAACAAACGAAAACGTCCAAAGAAATATCGAATTGCAATGATGCATACGACATACGTAACACGTCTGAACCTGAATGTGACTCTGCCTTGATACGACTGCTCTGCCGCTCGGCATAGGCATTTAATTGCGAATTGACCAATGAGGGCTCCTGTTTTACGTCGAGACGGCGGCGTTAGCGTGAAAATCACCCGAACCTTTTGTTTACATCCGGTCTATCTCTTATCTGAATATACTGTAGTAAAAGTTTTCTAGTTTTCGAAATATTACCAATTTTAATACTACTTTTTGCCCTTTTTTGCCTGGTATGGCTATAAAGAACTTTCAAACTTATGATGTCTTGCATAAGCTAGAATTTATATTAGTTGAGACTTCTAGGATGGTATGCTGAAAAGAAACTAAATTATTACGTTTGGTTTCAATGTGAAAACCTTTACGAAAGTTTGATTAATTACTGTGAAAAAAATATACCAGACTGAATCAGCAAATTACCTTAAAAACCAGATATTTAATGCTGTTTCAAAAATAGTATAACATTTGTAGGTTCTTTCTACTGAAAAATAATTCCTTTCTTTGTCATTGAAGTCGTAATTGCCAATTATTAAAAAACAACTTTCTGTAATACTGTTCACATGAGGAAGAAAATTTAGACGTTCATCAAGAGATATGTCTAAAAAACGTTACACTTCCACATACTTTTATAATTTCACCATTTAACGATATAGTCGAATATTTCTTAATTTGATTTCTAATTTTTTTTAGGAGAGAATATAATTACTTATGATTTTTCTGGATTTAATCTCAAGTCTTCATTTATTTGAGCCTTATTATATATTATATATTATATTATATTGTCAGTATTAAAATTATTGTATAACTACGAGTAGTCCTCTAAATATTGCAGTGTTTAACAACCGTCAGAAGAAGTGGCCCAAGACCCGACCCTTGAGGCACTCCCTATGATATTGAAGCCCCAGGAGAAGTGTTCATATCCATGACAACTCTTTGTGATCTATTTCTTAAAAAGCTATTGATTAGAGCAACAGATGATTCAGAGAAAACATAAAATTTACATTTGGCTATTAAAAGTGGACGGTTGAGGCTTTAGAAAAATCTAAAACAATTAAGGAAGTAGTTTGATGATTAGCCCAAACAATAATGTTGCGACTGGGCATATTACTGGAAGATGAATGAAAGTACAACTAATCAACGAATTATTTCATGTTTGTGTAAGTCTTTCAACATTTTCATGAAATTAATCCTATATCCATCTTTATATCGACAGATAAATTTAAGTATAATTTTGGTACTAAGTACTGGTTGCCTATCGTTTAGGGTTTTCTTCTTGTGCACAGTTCTCGGCGGATGAGGTTTAGGGTATCTATCGACCTATATGGCGCTTCATGGTGATCATTCCTTGCAATATTCAGACGCGATGTGCGAGCCGCTCACAACCTAAGAAGTCGTGTTGCTGTGTAGTATTAAATAAACTGTGCGATAACATAGCCAACTAGCTACGAAATACAGCAACTTACCCCTCTCCGTGCATTTAGGGACGCAGTCCTTGACGGTGGAGCCTTCACTTATGTATTTCTGAAACAAAGGAACAATGCATTCGTTAGAAGCTGTCGGTGCAGAAATTTTTAATGTCGACTACTACCCTACATCCGCAGATGCAGGAGGTCAGACGCGGTTTGGTCGTTAGCAGATCGACCGAGAGCTGTTTTAAGAGATATACAATGAGATGACAAAAACGTGGCAATATTTATACCGGGTTCGTTTGTGATATTTCGGAGGAGGAAATCCGCATCAGCGCTAGTGTAAGAAAATTCATCTTCAGATTCCGAGATGGATTTACAGGAAACTTTGTACATCCCAATTCAGAGCATACATTCTAATCAAACACAAATGAGGCAAAGTTTAATTTTATGGTAGAAAATCGTACTCTTCTCTCCATCTCATTAAAGGTCATTTTTTATAATTTCTGTCGACCTTAAATACGAGAGCTGAAGGTGACGTAATGCTAATGATCTCGTGTAGGAGTTCAGCGCTCCACAATCCGCGGTAGTGAAATAATTTCACACCCTGTGCTGTGAATTTATCGGGTTATAGAGATTTTGATAGAAATCGGTGAATTTTGTTGTTCATCGAGCTGAGGGAACTGTCTGCATTGGTACTCCGAGGCGAATTCAAGTAGAACTCACCCCTGTAAGGAACAGTTTCCCATTTCTGTGAACCGTCATTGTTCGAGTATTCTACCTTCGGGTATTGAGTTACATCTGGGGCTTGGTTGCCTACCTGTGACAGCCAAGCACCTGCCAAGGTGTCTTTTTTATTTTATTTTTAAATGGAAGCCATTTAGCTGGGGGGGGGGGGGTAGTTGCTTGTCCTCCAGGACTTTTTTTAATATCTTCTTATTTCTCTTGTTCAATAAATGTTTGTGTACCTTGTGAGTTTGCATCTCCTTCAGCGCCAGAGACCCAACATTGGTTACTTATTATTTCTTTTCCTACTTCCTGGAACCTGGGTGGCGCCTAAACCACCACCATTTGCCTCCAAAATCCAAAAGAACCACCCACTCAGGGTTCATTAACTACCGAACTAGCACAGTTACATTGCTTTACAAAATTATATCTTAATTTACGCCGGATAACAAGCTTCTTATTGACAGAATGTCTATGACTAATACTAAAGATGCAACAACCCCTACAACCCGTATCCCCCAAAGTTACAAATCCTACAAAAAAAATCCGAGGACGAAACGTGAAAGACAAGTTTAAGAGATATTTTTTATGGTGTTTTTGCACTACTGTTGCTAATTCCTACAGGGCATCATCTTAATGAAATTTGCACAGGGACTCCATGTTTTGTCCCTCGGCGTGTTTGCTAATCTCAAAGAAACGGTACGTTTAACGCCTTCCTTGTTAGGCAAGGTAAATCTCTAAGGGTCGTGCAAGGGTTAGCGGATAATGAACATATGAATAATGAAGGAATTAGCACTGGCAAGATGGAGATGCGAGCGGGAAAGGGCCTGTTGGGAAGGAGGCTTGTTTTGATGCTCCCTAACACTATCCTGGAGATGCCGGATTAAATGCTTGCGTGAAGATAGCCGATCAAATACTATACACGCTCGCCCGGAAAATTATCCGTTACGAAATCTGCGAATTAGAAATCTGCTTCGAGAGGGTCAGTGTCTTATAGATGGCGCTGTTGTCATGCCATGCGAGAACGGAGCATTGCTCCTAAGCAAAGACTGCTTATGGATTATTATATACAGGGTGTTAATTGAGTATGTACCATAATTTTTCCTTCTTTCTTTGAGTAATTTTAAGACAAAAAGTTCATATAAACATTTTTTACAAGAACATTCAGCTGTTATACATGCTGCATAAAAGGTACAACTTAAAAATCATCATTATGGTAAAGAAGTGGATCAGAATCAGTTCAGTTGTTACTTCCATTATTTATAATTTTACACAATTAAATATTTTGTTAAATATGTATTGTTTTGTCTGAATCTTGTGACAATAAGTCTTTACGTTGTATATTTATAATCTACTCGTATTTATTTACAAAACTATCAAGTATTATCGAGCCTACTTGTATTTTCAAGTACTTAGCAGACAGATTGTTAATATCGCCCAATTTCAGTATTGACAAACTTTCCAAAAATTTTCGAAAAAATTCTTAAAAAACGCTTTTTAGTTTTGATTACCAAAATACGTCATATTTGAAGAGCAATATGGTTTCCAGGAAGCAAAATCAACTCAAGATGCACTTATTCAGTTAACAACCAAAATTTAAAAGTACGTTGATAATAATAAGTTTGTAGACCGAACCAAAGCATTCGATAGTATGACGCATCAAAAATTATGAACCTTGGAAAATTTAGGATTTCGTGGAGTCACTTATCAACTCATGAAAAGTTAGTTAGAAAATACAATGTGTGAAAATCAACAGTACACTGAGTGAAAATATGATTGTTAGATGCGGAGTTCCACAAGGAACCGTATTAGGGCCAATGCTGTTTAATTTATATATTAATGACCTTTTTAAGTTAAAAAACGATGGAGAAATTATTGGTTTCGCAGACGACATGGCAATTATTTACTCAGACAAAAATTGGACTTCATTAAAAAACAAAATTGTATTAGTTTTTCACGGAAAGGATTTTAACAGTCAATTTCAACAAAACATACTTTATTACATTTTCTTGCGACAGCAGATCTTTCCCAAATTTTAATCAACTTCAAATTAAAACGATGAATAGTTGTAGAAACATACAATTGGTTGATAATTTCAAATACCTAGGGGTATTCATCTAAGATGGAATAAACATATTCAAAATTTAGTAAGAAAATTTAGATACCTTATTCCGAAAGTTAAATATTTCAGCAGTTTTTTAAGCGAAAAATATCTACACATGATATACCATGCCCTTGTTCAATCATTACTATCTTGCGGAATCTTAGCATGGGGGGGGAGTCATGAATAATTATTATAAAGGGTTGTCCAATAGGGACGCAGGAAGGTAAACGTCAATTTGACATAGACGCCATCTTTGTTTTCTGTCACCGACATGTCATTTTGTTAGTTGACTGTTTACCATTGATCGCTATGGAGTCGTATTCGATTGATGACCGCATTAAAGTTATTCAAGAGCGCAACAAAAACGGTGCAAAAATAAAAAACACGTTTCGCGCGCTTCGTGAACATTTCGGTCGCAACAACCGCCCAAACGAAACAACCATCGGTCGTCTGGTGCGTAAATTCGAGGCAACAGGTTGTGTGGCAAATTTGCCAGGCTCTGGCCGGCCAAGGAGCGTTCGCACACCGGAAAATATTGCTGTTGTGAAGAAGAGTGTGAGAGACGATCCGAAACAATCAACAACGCGTCGATCCCAAGAATTGGGCATTTCGAGAACCAGTTTGCTCCGCATTCTCCACAAGGATTTGAATGTAAACGCCAACAAGATCCAATTGACGCAAGAGCTGCGTCGGGCCGACCATTTTTCGCGCCAAACGTTCTCAGATTGGCTCCTTGAACACCGCCAAATTGATGCCAATTTTTCATCAAAAATGTTCAGCGACGAAGCGCATTTCACTTTGAATGGGACGGTAAACAAGCAAAACTGCCGCATCTGGGCGAACGAAAATCTCCGTGAGTATCAAGAGCAGCCGATGCATCCTCAAAAAGTGACTGTGTGGTGTGCATTGTGGTCAAAAGGTATCATCGGACCTTACTTTTTCGAAAATGCGGCCGGGGACGCCGTTACCGTCAATTCTGAGCGATATCACGTGATGATAGAGGACTATTTTTTGCCGCAACTTGAAGGAATGGATATGGACGATGTTTATTTCCAACAAGACGGTGCAACATGCCACACAACCAACTTCAATATCCATCGATTGCAGTCCTTCTTCGGTGATCGCGTGATTTCGCGCAGAGGAAATGTGCCATGGCCACCAAGATCGTGCGATTTGACTCCCTTGGACTTCTTTTTATGGGGATATTTGAAAAGCAAAGTCTACGTCAACAAACCAGCCACCCTCCAAGAACTCAAAAACAACATCATTGCCGAGATAAATGTCATAGAACCCACCATGTTGCAAAATGTCATTGAAAATTTCGACCATCGCGTGGACCGTCTGTAAATCCAGTAGTGGTGAACATTTGAGCGATATTATTTTTCATACATAAATGGTATAAATGAACCTTCAAAATAAAGTACCCAACTTGATTTGAATATCAATCTTCCTTGTTTTAATATGCGTTTACTTTTCTGCGTCCGATTTGGACAACCCCATGAAAAGATTGAAATTACAGAGAAGTGGATTTTGAAAGTTATGTTGAACAAAAAGAAATGTTGTCGCTCAGAAAATCTTTACAATGAATCTCAGCTTTTCGACTGCCGGCAAATTTATTTTTATTATACAATAATATATTTAACAAAAATCCATAATTGTTACTTTCTATCAGCCACAACCATCAAACGCGATAACAAGGAAACCTCTGCACCAATTCCTAGACTAAATAAAACTATCAGCCAAGGATCATTCTATTGTTTTTGCTCAAAATTTTATAATGTTATTGCTGCAAACTTTAAACATATAAAATGTAAGAAACGTTTAAAAATTGAATTAAAATCATGGATGCTAAATTATCCAAGGCTACAAATCCATAAGTTTGTTGACACTAAAAAACTATATGTTATTGGATCATAAAATGATGCAAATTTATACATTTGACTAGTACGCTTAAAGAAAATTTGTTGTATTAATATAACTCAACTTAGGTTAAAACCCAACACAAGTGTACACTTTTTTGGGTATATTATGTTTATTGGACATTGCCGTTATTATTTATACGAAGAAAAACCAATTGCTCCCAAGCTCGCAATATGGATTTCGAAAAGGACGGTCTACTCAAGACTTACTGATAAAGTTAACAACTGATATCCAAATTGGATTTGCGAATAACACGCATACTTCTGTAATATTTTTAGACGTTATGGGAGCTTATGATAATGTAGACTTGAATATACTATACAGTAAAATTATAAATATTGGTCTTCCAAAAGAACTTGCCAACCATTTGTTATTACTGTATAGCAATAGAAACATTTTCATCAGAGCCTCTGAGCAGACTATTGGACCACGATCAACATCTAAAGGACTAGCACAAGGGAGTACATATATTGAGTCCCATCTTGTATATAATATATTCCTATGACTTTGAAAGAGCTTTTAATTCAAGAGATGCTAAAATATATCAGTTTGCAGATGACTATGCCATTAGTATCCAGAACAAAAATTTATCTCAATCTATGGAACTTCTAGAAACAGCGACTTCCATTGCACACGAATGGTTTGAGAATAATGGATCTTCCATTGCCTACTCAAAATCTTGTGTATGTACGTTTACCAGATCTCGTCTTAGTCCTCCAAATATCATCACTCTGGCTGGGCAGAATATATCCTATAAAACTTCTGTCAAATATCTAGGAGTTATCCTAGATAAAAAACTTAACTGGAAAGAACATATTACATACATATTAAAGAGAAGTCAGAATGCTTTTAACATTCTGAAGTCCTTTTCACATCGGAAATGGGGAGCAGATCCAGCAGTGTGCTTAACCTTTTACAGGACCTTAGTTCGATCAATCTTGGACTACGGATCAATACTTTATGGAAATGCATCTAGAATTCATCTTCAAAAAATAGAACAGATCAAAAATAAGTGCCTTAGGCTATGTATCGGATATTTGAATAGCACTCCCATAAATGTCATGGAGGTCGAATGTATCGAACCTCCTCTTCAATTGAGACGACAAATGTTGAGCGACAAAGCCCTGGTTAAACTGGTCAGCAGGGGATTCATTAACGAGATCCACCAATTGTTTATTCATGGATTAACAGCGAAATACTGGCAACACAAAAGGCTTCCTCTGATCATAGAGAGTTATGAGTGGCTTCTTCCTACCGTCAAGAAGGTACACTCTAATCAAATCAACCCATGTTTCATACCTGAATATTCGGCATATATATATTCGAAGTTATCTTTACGAAATATTCCGAACTAGATTTATCAACACCTTACAAATTCCGGCATGATATTCGAACACGATGGAGTGGATGGGAATATATCTTCACGGATGGTTCGAAGAAAGACAATTTAGCGGGATGTTCATTTTATCACAGCAACAATTCGTATCACCAAGAATTCAAGTTGCCACCTGAATGTTCGGTATACACAGCAGAACTGGTTGCGATCAACCAAGCTATTGAATACTGTTTCCAATTCCATGGAAATGAGAATTTTGTTATTTTTACCGACTCTAGAAGTGCTGTAACAAAATTGGAGAATTGTCACCCCACTGCAGATCTTAATCATCTAATTGCGAACATCATCAAGCGCATTCAGGAGCTGAATAAAATCGACAAAACTATAAACATAGTCTGGATCAAAGGCCACTCAGGTATAAAAGAAAACGAGATGGTAGATAATTTGCAAAAAGAGCTACAACTAGAGGCGATTACGTTTCGGGCATGGAGATTCCTTTTACTGACGCTCATTTTTTGATCAGACAACGACTAAAGGATAAATGGAATAACCATTACAAAATCAGTCCAACAGGAAGTTACCTGAAACGTATACAAGAGACTCTTCGAAGCAGACCTTGGTTTCAAGGAATTACCAATCGTCCTTACATTAGAACCGTGAGCAGAATAAGAAGTGGTCATGCCCTAACGCCCCATCATAAATCAAGAATTGGATACGGAGATGATCCACTTTGCAGTTGTGGAAATATAGGAACCTTGCAACACTTAATATTAGAATGTACAAGTTCTAACAACGAAAATTCTGAATTGTATAAAATTTTAGCGAATCACCTTCCTTTGCCTCTAAATTTAGAATCAATTCTCAGTTCTGAGAACCAGCAAGTTTACGAACTTTTATACAAGCATTGTCGGAAAGTAGGCCTAACATTATAAAATGTAAATTACAGTAAGTTTGTTTGAAAAAATGAAAAAAAGGAAAATATTGAAAAAAAAAAGCAGATCAGTTAAAAAAAACAAAAAAAGAACAATCTTATAAATAAAATAGAGAAAGGAAAAAATAAGTAAAAAGTATTGGTTAAAAAAAAAACAAAAAAAACAAAAAAAAAATATGCGTTTGTATACTACAAAGTATAATAGAAATAATATAGGTATAATAGTAATATTAAGTAATGGATGTTCTATTTTCTATTAAAGCATAGCATTATACTGAACATAAGGATCTGGCCAGTTGGTCATCGACCAGTGCCAATAACAGAACAAAAAAAAAAAAAAAAAAAACTTTGTAATTGGACCAATAAACATTATTATTATTTTTATTTTTGATTTCAGGTCAAGTAGCTTAAAATTCGAGTCAAATCGAATCCCTATTACTGAGCAGGAAAAACATACATTATGAGAGGTAAGCTATGCAAGGGCTCCTATAACATAGCAAACTTCTAAATTCGAGGAAAATTTTCCTAAGCGTAAAAAAGGTTTCGGGTTCAATTCCGACAGAAGCCTAAGGCTCGCTTTTTGTGTTGGTTTTGGCTGAAAATCCTGATTTGGTCAGTCACTAATAATAACGGCACGGGTATTATGTAAAAAGCTTATACAGTGTTAAAAACATCCAATAAAATGTCATTTGACTAGGTAGTTTTTAGGGTGCAAATAGTTCACTCCACGGTTGCTTGCTATGACCGCAGTGAGCGTCCATCTGAAGAAGAGCGACTCAACTATACGCATTGTTGGTTGCATATGTTTTATGAAGCAGCTTTCATCCCTGAGAAGAAAGTTGGTTGAATATCAAGATCGCATCTGGATGACTATATGTTACGAGTATATTTCCTGTGTGAGAAAGATTATTACTGAATATGCTGCCAATGAAGTATATCTATTAGCTGTGCCCGACGGGTTATATGTTATATGTTGTCCTTTCGGAGGACAGGTTATGTTCAAAGTTATAAATTACTTTATTTCCCGTTTTTCTGCGTTTTCAAAAACTTTGAGGAGCACTACGAGAAATCGCCATCCGCGTTGTGTGCGCAATGCATCACATCTAGGCGCTGATTTGTATTTTCTATTGACATCGCAAAATATTACTATAAAATTGAAATAACTGCAAATAAAAAATAATATAATAACCTTTTCACTTCCATAAGTATTCCTGTCTGTAGCATATTTTCTCATCTGTGTTCCTTCACCAACCAGGGGTTCTTTTATCTCTCTCATTTTTGAAATTCAGCAAATATGCATATGTTATCTCCGAAATGAATAAGAAAAACTGGATGCGCAACTAATTTCTAGCTTAGTGTGTTTGAGACAAGAATCCAATGGAATTATTATCAACAGATATTAGCACACAAATCCTCACTACGAGGGATGTCTTTTAAGTTTTGCATATAGAAACATAGTAGGCCGCGCGGATCGAACGTCAGTACTGAATCTTAACCTCACTCTTTAGTAAACTTAAATTCAAAGTTTCACAACAATACGTGCAGTGTTCTCACTGCAGTGAATTTTTAAGTGTCACCGAGTCATTAGAAAAAAGGAACTCAACCGAGAACATTTTCGCGCCATAAGTTATTACAACTTTCAGAGACAATTATCACAACAAGAATGCCAAAAACGGCAGTCAGCCAGGAAAACTCATCATTGAAGATAGACATGTGACATATCGCGAGATTAAGGCGTCCTTGAAGATCTCAAAGACCTCAATTCAAAAAATTTTACATGAAGAATTAGGAGTAAGAAAATTAGTTTCTCGTTGGATACGCCACCTGTTGACTGAAGAGCAGAAAGCAGCCAGGGTTAATTGGTGTCAAAAAACGCTTGACCGGAAACTCAAAAAATATGTACAGCATTGGTTCGAGCGCATGCAGATTAGTATTAATTTTCGTGGAGAATACTTCGAAAAACAATAAAGTCATTTAAAACTACCTACCGTGTGGTTTTATTTCCGTATGCAAAACTTAAAACACATCGCTCGTACGCACCTATGCGATGCCGTTTCCTTTCCTATAGTATAAAACTTACAGCTTAGACCTCCAGTAATGCCATCTCTGAAGCAGATATTACATCACATCAGAGCCAAACATTGTTAACTAAAGCATCATGATGTTTAGGCAACACGTACACCTACAAAACGAGTTCACAACGTGTTCGTCACCTAGTGCTAAGTTAACATCTCGAAGAAAAACCTACATAATCTCACAAACAATACAATGTCAAAAAAAATCGACATAATGTCACTTTTCAAGTTACATACTACCTGGATCCTGCCCCACTGCTTCAATTTAAATGAATTAAAAGATACGATACCGCCTGAGGCAGTCATTTATTTGTTTACGCTAGGGCCAAAATTAACACTCAATCGTCCCTCGTTCACCTTCCTGAATTTTATCATGAATGCAAAACGATCCGGCCGCATCTGAATAAAACATTTTATTAAGTCAACAAGGCAAGAGGAAGATATCCCTTTATTAACTTCGGATAATAATACCGTCAGAAAGTGGTGAAACACAATAGGAGCTCGAATATTACGGCGTTTGTTGACGTCTCCATTATTTCTTACCGGGGGAGACACTGAAGATACATTTCTGTATATGAGTTTATCATCAACTCAGACCCGTCTGACATTTGCCTCCCACCCTACTTCGTACATCCAGAACTGGCCGATACGACCGCTCCTTTCTTCTCAGGGTATCGAGATTGCGGGACGATCTAGATATGGAGGCTCTTCCCAGTTCTAGCAACTTTAGGCAGTTCAAAATCGAATTAACAAAGTCTATTCAAAGATAAAAAGTGAAGAACATCGAATGGTGTAATAAGGCCCAAGCCAATCAGATTATGGTAGAATCGATCACAGTATGGTGAAAACTTCAAACAGCCAAAAAATAGATGATCCAAGTTGCCCTCAACGTTGGAATCGATAATATGGAATCTAGCTAGATATTTTGGATAAGCTCCATGTCCAAGTTTTGTTGTAATAATCATAGATATGTGCCAGTACGTTTTTTTAATATCAGGATATATTAGAGCAGTGGTCTCCAACCCGTCGATCGTGAGCAAAGGCAATTCTGGTGGCTCGCAAAATATTTTAAAAAGGTGTAAAAATCATAGAAGTTTCTGTAAATTTTGTAAATTCTCATAATAAACACAAGCAGCGGCAACGCTGCGGAGAGCGATCTGTTCGAGAACGATCTCGATTACTTTGAACGGAATAAATACGCAAGACGCGGCGACAGTACGCTCAGTCTAAAACTGAAGGTTGGGTTAGAGTTAGCCTTCAATTAAAAACATTATGAGCAGTAGTAAGAAGATGAAGGCATACCGCTTCCATTCGGAATAAGAACAATATTTCTTGACAAATGAAAAAATGTATGTTTGTCATGTAATACATCTGTTTCCGTTGCTAAGAAAAGGAGTAATTGTACATTCAAATTTTGAACAATCATCCACATTACGTTCTGCAACCAGAATGGAAAACTGAAACAATTAAAAAATCACTTAATTGGACAACAGACAATGTTTTTGAAAGCAATCGACAAAAGTAAGGCTGCAATTGAAGCATCGTACCGGGTGTCTCAGATAATTACACAAAAGAAGACAGAGAAATGATAAAACAGGCGTTTTTTAGAAGCAGCAGATTCATTATTTGCCAACTTTAGAAATAAAGACGAGTTGGTGTTTGATATAAAATCTATGCAACTTTCTAAAAATACAGTAATGAGACGAGTAGAAGTAATGAGCGATGATATAGTGTTACAGTTGAGAAATTACTTAAATAACTGTGCCTATTTTCTACTGCAGCTCAGATAACCGTGTTCGTCAGGATATTTGTTAGTGATTTTACGATTAAAGAAGGTCTTTTTAAAGTGTATTCCACTAAAAGGACAGACTACTGGACAGGACTTGTATTATATATCTTTTAGAAACGTTATTTCTAATGAGAAAATTCCAATATCGAAAATGGTAGGCTTGACAATTCCTCTGTTACCACTGCATTAGGAGGAGTTGGTGTTTATTTAAGGGATTCGCTGAGAGGTAAGCGAGGTATTGCAAGATTGTTTATGTCCAGATGGGTTTGTCCTGAAATAGTGTTGAATAATAAAAATTTTTCTGTTTATGTTATTATGTTATCTACAGGGTGTTTCAGTTTATTGTTGCATAACTTTAAGATTCGATAGAACTTCAAAATTAATGCATAAAGTCTATATAAACATGGGTCGAAAAATGCGTGGCTTCCGAAATACAGGGTGTTTAAATTTACTTTCTAAAATAGTTTTTTTTTTAAATATTTCGAACAATATTTGATGTATAACAGTGAAAATTGGTATTCAAGGGTTTTTTGGTACGACAAAACGAACCATGGGCATAGCTTTACTGTAGCCGCTAGAGGGCGCTCTCTACTGTACCTGTAGTGTATTAAAATGACCGAAAATTTATTCTTAGTGCAATTTTTTGCTTTTTGAGTAAAAAAACTCATTCTCCGCACTTTTCAACATAAAAAAGCTCTCTTGTGAATTTTCGTTATAGTTAGCCGTTTTTGAGATATTTTGATTTTTAAGGTTCGATGCATTTTTAATTATTTATGATAAAATAACGTTAAAAGGTCAGTATCTCGATAAAAATTATCTAGGCTGTGCCTGCAAATACTTTTGAAATTGAAAGCAGAATAAGGTTAAACGTCAATTAGTTGACAGTTAGTTTTGGTGTCTGTTGAAACCTGAAACGCTTTTTGCAATTGTGAATGCACGAAATTTAGTTTCTTTTACCTGTTTTTTCTTGAAAGTTTTATAAAAATGCCATTTTTATTCTCCAATCAAGAGTTAGCGGATATTCATTTTGTGTATGGCTTTGTAACTGGAAACGCAGCAGAAGCAACTAGAGGATACGCACGAAGATTTCCAAACAGACGACATCCAACTCGCTCAGTATTTGTAAGAGTGCATCGCCAAATAATTGAAAATGGTTTTAGTAGTAAAGAATCAACGTTGGCGGATTTTGGTTCTTGACATCCTTTACGATCGGTTACGATGCCTAGAGTACGGAGACCTGTTCGATTTCGTCAACTTAGTGAGTTTGATAGGGGCCGTATAGTGGGACTTCGGGAAGCTGGACTTTCTTTTCGGGCAATTGCAGTTAGAGTGCAAAGAAGTGTAGACACTGTGGTTAGGTGTTGTCAGGCATGGCTTCGAGAAGGCCGTACGCAAAGAGCAAGGGGCACTGGACGCTGCCGTAGAACAACAGACCTTGAAGATCGCCGCCTAACATTATTGGCCTTAAGGGACCGTTTCTCCACTACCAGGTCCATTGCAAAGGAATGGTTTGCAGAACACGGAAGACCTATTGGCATGCGAAGTGTTTACCGATGAATGAGAAGTTTTGGCTTGTTTTCATACCGGCCACACTGGGTCCTCCCTTTAATTCGAGAACACCGACGTAATCGCCTTGAGTGGTGCAGACAACGGTCACTCTGGGATCAGGAATGGAACAGTATTGTCTTTAGTGACGAGTCTCGATTTGTTTAGGTGGTCGTGCCAGGGTTACAAGGCGACGTGGTGAAAGGAGGAATCCACAGTTTTTTGTTGAAAGACATGTTCATCACACTGTTGGAGTTATGGTTTGGGGTGCTATAGCTTATGGTTCCAGGTCACCTTTAATCTTCATCAAAGGGAACATATATATAACATATATCCACGAAGTTCTAGAACCCCATCTTTTACCCTATCTTGACACCCTGGCAGATCCAACTTTCCAACAAGATAATGTCCGACCACATGTTGCAAGAGTCACAATAAACTTCTTTCAACATAATGATGTCACATTGTTACCATGGCCACCAAGATCTCCCGACTTATCCCCAATTGAGCACGTGTGGGATATGATGGGTAGGAGATTGCTCAATTTGCAACGTCCTCCTCAGACTCTAGAAGCAATTCGAGAGGAGTTGGTGGTTGCCTGGAATGAGATACCACAGGAGGACATTGACCACCTGATCAGAAGCATGCCTAGGCGCGTTGGAGAATGCGTAGCACATCAGGGTGCATCCACACATTATTAAAGGTCAAAGGGCTTTAAAGCAGTGCAATCATTTTGAATTTTTTATCATTTACTTATTATGCTTCATTAAGTACTTATACAAAATTTTATTAAAATAAAACCATTTAAACTGGGTGTTCGGATTTATATGTCACTTAGTATATATGTATAAAAGTCCATCACTGGAAGTAATCCGGGAAGAAATATAACACCCAATACGATACGGTCATCTTGATATGCATTGTAGGCAATTTGTATGCGCATTTTTGTTGCTCACTCAAAAAATTTGCTTTATCATTCGGTCTGGAGCAACAGCGAGGGTTCCCTATGGGTCGTCCGCTTTTTGCATAAATTTTGTTACCGCTTGCCGCGGTCATTTATTATATTTTCAAGAGGAAACTGACAGTACATTTATGATTCTCTATTCTGCGTCCTAACTGGACATTTTAGATGCGCTTTTTTACTTTATTACTTCCTGTCAGTCTGTATAATTTTGTATAATTGTTTGCGAACATATTAACTTTTTCATATTCTAATAGAGTAGTCGCCAACCTTTTCAGTGTGTTGGGCTACTTTGATAATTTTGAAATGAACAGTGAGCTAGTCGTAAGCCTGTACGCCAGCTTAAAAGAAATTATACACGTAAAATCAATTAATCACAATAATCAGCAGCTGATATAGCCCGTGTTTTTAATAAATATTTTGTTGATATATTTGCGCAACTAACAAGTCAGATTGATCAAAACTCAATCCTTGATACATCAGGTCTTCATGTCGTCAACGTTGCTCACTCTATGTTTCTAACTCCAGTGGCTAACATAGAGTTACAGCAATCTGAAAAATAATACCGCACTCGGATGGCTTACGCACTAAATTTATCAAGATGATCATGAAGTATATCGGTCACCCTATAACTCACACTATCAACCTGTGTCGAAACCTGTATATTAGTTAACATTTTCAAGTTGAAGAAAATTAGCCACTGTTTCGGGAAACTTACAAAACTGGTTTTTATCCACAACCTCATTGATACATTTTCTATTGTGGTATGCATAAAACCGGCGGTGATCCTTTGCTGCTGTTGCTGGACGAAGAACTACGTAGAAATCTCCTGTTTACATCATTCTTCGTTTTCTTAAGTTTCACAATTAATACCGTTCCGGAATCTTCTAATGTTACCTGGCTGATTTCACAAATTCGACAAACTTCTATAATCCCAAATACAACAACAACCTTGGCCATTAAATAGACTTCATCGGTAGCATTATTTAAAAAATCACTAATTTGTGTACTCGTAAGAATCGCAGCTTTCTTGGGCTGGTAAACTTTCCCATTTCGTTTCTGAAATGCAATTAGTTTGAAATATTATGAAACGCCTACATTATTATTGGATCGTAACATACTTTTAATCATTGAATAATTCGATCACACTGTTGATGGCTTTTGCTGCTGTGCCAATTCCGAAAAATAAGCCAATTCACTCCGTCTCCGACAAAGAACTGCATGTTGTTTTCATCTTCCATTCCATGAATCTTGAATACCCGGTTTCGTAAATTTTCCGCCATTTAGCTGGCAATAATTTTTGTGCCGCCAATTTGGCTACTTCTACTAATTC